ACTTGGGCCCTGAATGGTGGGTACTTAGGCCCTTAATAGTGGGTAGTTAAGCCAAAATTGAAGGCTCCTGGAGGATCCAGGAACAACCCTTTTTTCAAATTAGTGCCCTTGAGATGACTGTGTTGACAAAGGGCTTGCGGAACCTTCAAGGCGTTGGTACCCCTTAGGGTTTAGGGCTTTAGGTTTAGGGATTTGGGGTTTGGAGGTTTAGGGGTTTAGGGTTTAGAGGATTAGAGGTCTAGGGGTTTAGGGCTTCTTTTACTACATGCACAAAGGGGACTGTGAAGGGATGCATGGCGCTGCTCAAACGCCCCGGTGAACAGGAATGCCAAGCATCAACAACATGGTTCCCCTAGAAACTGATTTTCAACTTCAGCTTATTCCTGTGCATGCTGCTGTATAACCCCAAATACTGTTTTCCTTTTTATAGAGACCCCCAAAAAGGTACCCCTAATTCTGTGCAATCCTGAACCCAATAAACCCTTACGTGGTCCCAGTTTCCATTTCATTTTCCACTTGCTTTTCCATTTGATTCTCTACTATTGGGGAAAATATGTCAGGAAGAAGTACGAATCCACGATCCCTAGCAAAGGAGTGCCTCCTTTGAAACAATCCGACTCTCGCCAAGCCTCCCTGCAACTCAAAATCTGTGAGCCCCCCTGCGCCTAGTTGCGTTTTAGGGTTTACCCTAAACCCTAAACCCTAAACCCTGAACCCTAGGGTTTCAGGTTCTCAAAGGAACCCTAAACCCTAAACCCTAAAAACCCTACTGAACTAACATCGTCCTAGGCTGAAGGAGCTTGAAGAGGACCTCGTAATTCCAGGAAAAAGGGAAACCAAATTGGTGGAAACGCGCCTTGAAATCCGCCCGGAGACTCTAGCACATAGGTTTAGGGTGTAAACCCTAAACCACAAACCTTGAATATCGGATCCTTAATCCTAAGCCCCAGACCTTAAATATGAGATTTGGGGTCTAGGGGGCTAGGATATGAGTTTCAAAGTTGAGCTTCAGGGTGTATTTACAACCTTGAAAGTTCAGGGCTTAATAACATTTAGAGAATATTGGATCTAGACTGTAGGGTGTATAGTTTTAGGGTTACTTTGGGCATGCCTTTGGGACCGGTAACAGCCCACTAAACCCTAAACCCTATGCTCATGTAAGTTGGTGCAACACTGCCATACTGGGATTCCCAAAATCGAGGTCCCTGTTTGGACTCGACCTATGGGGGGATAGGAAGACAGTAAGGTGTACAGAGTTCCAGGCAAATGTTTGAAGACAGTTTTGACTACATTTGGGTTCTGGGGCCTAGCAAAACCCTAAACCCTAAGGGGGGCCATCCTCTTCCAATCAATCTTCAAAGCACTCAAAAAAGGTGAAAAGAAGCTTGAAGAGGATTCCTAACTTCAGGTTTCTGCCCTGCCAAGAAACTGTGAGGAGGAGGGGGAGCCCTTCCATAAAGGGTCCATGTAGGTATATATTGGGTACTGCCCCCACCCAGTAACAGTCTATATTAGGGCCCTATTAAGGGCTGTATATAACCATATTATAAGTATCCAAAAGTTACTGAGTGGGGGCAGTACTCAAGGTATATACGATATACTTAGGCCCGAAAAGTATATACTATTGTATACCTACATAGACCCTTTGGGTTCTACCAGGGCGTGACACGTAGGGGGGGGGAGTCTCGGGTAAGCTTTATTCAATGGTTCTTGTGACAAAAGTTCGTGTAGCTTGGAGAGGGCAACACATTCCGTACCACGACTAATTACTCGCAGAGTAGAGTGCCTTGCAGAACCCTAAACCCTAAACCCTGAACCCTAAACCCAAAACTCTAAATCCCTACCCAGGGACACCACTTTTTGAAGCAGGCACCGCGCATTCAAGCATCTGGTAGGCTTAAGCTCCCACTGGCCGACTCTCCCCAGACCTCTTTCAGGAACCTAAGCTGCACTTGCAAGATGCGAGTGTAGGGGCCAAACTGATGGGAATAAGACCTAGGGTCTACATAGATGTTTTCATGAATAGGGGCACCCCAATATAGACACTCAAATACTATAACCTTTGCATGTCTGGGGACACCTCAAAAGCTACCCCTGAGTTTGGGAAGCCCTGAAAACTAAACCCTAAACAAGCCTATTATACCCCTATATGGGTGGTTGTCAAAATTTTGGTCCCTTTTTGGGGTACCCTAAATATTAGGGGCCGTATTATAATAAGGATCAAAAAAGGGACCATAATTTTGACAACCACCCATGTATCCTTTATAACCCCGAAGGCCTTGGGGTACATGGGCTGCAAGGCGGTTCGCCGCCAAGGATGATTACATGACCCCTGAGCCCTAAACCCTCAACTACATACACAAAAGCTTATAGTACCCCTTAAGTAGATAGAATATGGCTTTGGGTATATTATAGTAAGATCCCCATATTCTATCTACTTAATGGGGACTATAACATGAACCTCAGAATCCCGATCACGCACGTACGGAAATCCCTTCAACGTCAGTCGTATCATCCTGAAACCTCATACTCTTGCCCTAAGGCTCTAAGGACTCATAGTATAAGGCTTTTGGGCCCAAAGACCATACTACAAAAGGATTTTGGGCGGTTTTGAGCCTTAGGGTAGTTGTCGTTCTCATTTTCGTTATGATAGTTCTTATTTTGTTATAATTCTTGTAAGTACTGTTTACCAACTGTTATCGTTGTTATGTTGATTGTTACCATCGTTTATTTTTATGGTTCATTAGTACTCTAGCCCCAAAGGCCAAACCCCTGCACCCAGAGCGAACCAGTGGCTCTGATACTTTCTGCACCTCACCGCCACAAAGCTGCTGCCTCCCACGAGCACAAGCGTGGCCAAGAGTGTCGTCCACAATGAAGCCTTTCCGGCATGTTGGTTGTTTTGCAAGTATAGGTTTTCAGGAAGGATCATTTTGAGAAACATGCATGCCTGCTTAGCATATGACAGCTGCTGGTGCTGAGTTTTAGGGACATTGTGCTCAGAACAATTTGGATAACAGAGATGCTCAACTGGGTAGCACCTTAACGGCTTCAAGCAGATTTCTGAACAGGACCCCTTAGACCACACAAGGGACATTATCAAGTCTCCCAAAGTGTCACTTAGTCAAACATCCCAACCTTGAGGCTCGGCCTGGAGACAACACCCATCTAAGGTTGGTCCCGAAGGCTCCATGTAGGTACTACTTATAGATTTTACGGCCCAATGTAGGTATGGCTTTTAAACTTAGAGCCCCAGAGGCTGGGAGATTAAGACATTCTAAGGGAGAACCAAATGGAAAAGAACATGGAGCGTGATCTGGAATCTGGGTTATATAGGGTATGTACATACATGTATGAGTTGAAGGGACAAACTGTAAGCTACTATTACTGGGAAACCCATGTTGCAAAACCTGTTCTTGTGAACCATCAGAAGGCCATCCTAGTTTGCAAGCTGCGCTGCGCAATTCGGAGCGATCATTTGAAACACGGTTTAGGGTTTAGGGTTTCTCAACCCTAGATCTGTGGGACCTTCATCTTCAGCAAAGCACAAATTTTGCAGTTTGGGCTCAATAGGCGCTTCTTCAAAACATGAAACACGACTTACTGGTGCTTGAGAGGGAGTGCGAAGTGAATATAGGGTGTAGGGGTTTAGGGTTTAGGGTTTAGGGTGGGGGAGTGAATGTAGGTACAATTATTGGGGTATCTATGCGGGTTACAAAAGGATTTTTGTAGGGATCCATTCCCCCTCTCTCCCTTAAGCACCATGAAGATGAAAGGAGCCCTAGTTCGGGGCATCTCGATGCGTAGAGGCAGGGGCGGTTGAGATGGGCCCTGAGCTATTCGGGAGATTCTAGGGCCCATAAGGGTACATACAATGTACATACTAGGTATGTAAAACTTCAAGGTCAACAGCGCATACCCAACCCTAAACTTTCAACCCTAAACCCTAAACCTCAAAACCCAAGGCCCATTCGGAACTTTGAGTTTGCAGACTGAGCAGCGAAGGTCTGCACCTTTCCCTCGGAGGGGCTCATAGCTCTGTCCGGCCTCCTGTTTTTAGGGCTTGAGGCTTAGGGTGAAAGGGTTAGGGTTTAGGGTTTAAGGGTTTAGGGGTTAGGGCGTAAGGACCTTTGGGCCTGGGGCCGAAGGTTAAGGGCTTAGGGCTTACGAGTTTAGGATTTAATGCTAACACCTACTTTTAATAAACGGGGTGGCAATAATATATTGTTGGCGAGCCAGAAAAATCCCGGAAGATTAACTTATGCTTTCTAACAAGTTAGGAGCCCGAAAAGGTCTAAACAAGGTCCATCGACAATATTAAAGGGGTGGCAAAAATGAAATTGTCCGGCAGAAAATGTCGCGATTTTAATATATTGCCTTCTGCTTATCCTGCTAGTACTACGAGCGGCACTACCTGGTCCTACCCCAACCCTTGGTTTATTATTGGGACCCCCCACCCTTTCGTAAACCAAAAACGCAAAACAAGTTTGGTACGTGTGTGTGCTTTTTTTGCTGGGGGGGATTATTGTCAGGTACACATCAAGGGTTTAAGGGTTTGGGGTTCAGGGTTTAAGGTTTCGGGCTTAGGGATTTCAGGTTGACATAAGGCTCATATATAACTTATGATGTGATGAAGTCTGTGTGGACAATGTAAGGGCAAACTACCCACCTGAAAATGATTTAGATGTATGGTCCCTCGAGAACCCTTAGAACCTTTAAGCCATAATGCTTAAAAATCCTGTGGCCCCTCACAGGCATGCTGGCCGAACCTGGAGGCTTCTTTGAGCAACAGTTGATATTTCCACAGAAAATTAATGGACATAGGTTCCCACATAATTGAGGTATAGTCAACGGACAGAGTGGGAAAGACATTGAACATCAAATGTGTGGTTATATAAGGGATTTAAGGATTAACAGCTCCCATATAATTAATGGACATGGGTTCATGATTAGGGACTGTACTAGAGACTATAATAAACTACAAGAAGGACCCCTATGTCCACCCTTAATGGTCCCTTGGTAAGGCTAGCGTTGACTGTAATTCATATGGGTGGTCTACAGCCAGACCCCTGGGCGCATATACAGCTCCTACAAACTACCAATCAAAATAACATGCGGCTCTCGATTTTCTAGGTCCTCCTAGGGGGTCTGCGCATATAATCACAACCAGAATGCACTACTCCGCAAAGAAGACAAGGCCGCAAACATGGGAGGCTTGGCATCCTGCATGCAGAAGTGCGGGTGCTTGCAGGAAATGACAATTTAATGCAGGGGCCAAATAATGAGAACAGCGTTCTGGAACATGCTACATTGAGCATGATCTCAAGGCTTCCGGTGATATCCGAGCAATTTCAGCGCCTACCTTCAGCCTTACCTACTTCCATTGAGTGCCTGATCATCTCTACTAGAGGCATCCTTGCTTTTACTCCCCATGGGCTCGTCTAACCCAATCTATGCCCATAAGACGCTTAACCCAAAGTCCTGAACTCTCACCTGAAAAACACAGGCTCTAAACTCCAAAAATCCCAAAGCCCAAAGCAGACACCTTGAACACCCCCAACCCTGAACACTCCTCTGGAACACAAAGCCGGTCCCATCGGCCGTGGTAGGCCAAAACTCGCAGACCGTTGAGGTCTGCATGCTGGTCCAGTTGTGCCTGTGTCCTTTGCTGGGGAAGGGCGGGTGGGCTGAGGGAGGGTGATTTGTGTATGGACTTACTGTAGGGCTATGGTGAAGCAGTTGTGCGGGTTAGGAAAGGGAGTCGGGGATGAACTTAGTTCTCAGGGCATTGAAAACTTCCTGGTGCTCAGACTGGAGTATAGGAATGAATTGAGGAGACGGCAGGGCAGATTCCAGCCGAGTATAGTAAGCTGTAGAAATGGGGAATCTACCTAAGGGCCTTGTACTTCCTTCATGATTCTGCTGGGGTAGTTGGTGGGGGATTATATGATAATGTACTGTCCGAGAAGGCACTACATGGAGGTTTGGGGCTGGGCAGATAGGCTAACCCTGAACCCAAACCAAAAATAGTAGTCTCCATTTTTTCTTCCATTATCCCAATACACCCCATAATGAACTATATTGATGGTTCCTTCGTTGCTTTCTGAAGACCCGGAGCCGAGTTCGAGAACGGCATGGGAAGGTTTCCGAACTTGAAGGGTTCAGGTGCCTACGCATAGGTGCATACATATATATATATACATATACATATACACATTGCTCTATATATCTGTAATAGAGTGATTGTGGACAAGAAAGCGGAAACTACTGTTTAAGAGGTAGGGTTTAGGGCTTAGTGTCTACTGTTTAGGGTCTAGAGTCTAGAGTTTAGGCTATATACTTGTGGTATAATACGGGTTCCTACAAGGAACGGTAAAGCCAAAAACATGAAATGCGGCCGTACGTACGTACCCTTGGGCGATCCCTCTTGTCACGTGCACCTTTTTGGAAAAGCCTTTGCCTACCATTACTACTACTATTACTGCTAATTAAGAATAATAGTGGCAGCAATAGTAGTAGCGGTGGTAATAGTGACATCATTAGTAATAATATAATACTATTGCTAGTATTATGAATATTCAGGAGGAGCCGAGATTCATGGTCAAGGCAGAGCCTCTCATGCAAATGACGCCTCCTAGGGCATTGCCCCGGCGCAAAGCCAACTCGACAGCCAGAGCTACACCCTGGGAGAAGCCAGCGACCACCAAGCGCCGGGAGTCGCGGCCGGGCAACTTAGCAACCTCTCCTTACTTGCCTAGCTTCCATGAACATCTTTGGACTTTACTTCAACACAGCCCAGTAAGAAATCAAAAACAGCGAAAGAGTTACCCGCTGATCTTCCAAGCCTCGCAGCAGCAGTGATTCCACTCGCTCCAGCTGCTCCTGTACTTGCTGGGGATCTTTCGCAAGGTTCCCCTCCTCGCTGTATGTAAACCACGAGTTCTGCACTTTCGTCCAGCCATCAAAGGTTTCCTCTCTCACCTTACTTGCGGTTTGCAAGGAATGAAGGAAGGGATCCTTCTAGT